AGGTATTGCAGGCGCATTAGGGTGGAGGAGGTCGCGTGGGCTTTGCGTAAGATGAGTAGGGGTAGAGCGCCCGGGCCAGATGAAATCCCGGTTTAGTTTTGGAAGTGTGTGGGTAGAGCAGGCTTGGAGTGGCTGACCACGCTGTTCAATGAAATTTTTAGGACGAAGAGGATGCCGGATGAGTGGGGGTGGAGTACACTGGTACCGTTGTACAAGAACAAAGGTGATATTCAGTGTTGTATCAATTATAGGGGTATCAAGTTACTGAGTCATACCATGAAAGTTTGGGAGAGGGTGGTAGAGGTGAGGGTGAGGAAGAAGGTGTCTATATCCGACAACAAATTTGGGTTCATGCCTGGTCGCTCGACTACGGAAGCTATCCACCTTAATAGGAGGTTGGTGAAACAGTACAGGGATAAGAAGAAGGATCTACACATGGTGTTCATCGACTTGGAGAAAGCATATGACAAGGTCCCTAGGGAGGTGCTCTGGAGATGTCTTGAGGCAGAGGGTGTGCCGGTAGCCTACATCAGCGCGATCAAGGACATGTATGATGGAGCTAAGACTAAGGTTAGGACTGTAGGAAGCGACTCGGAGCATTTCCCGGTTGTTATGGGATTACACCAAGGCTCTGCGTTTAGCCCGTTTTATTTGCATTGGTGATGGATGCATTGACAAACCATATTCAAGGGGATGTGCCATGGTGCATGTTATTCGCTGATGACATAGTCCTAATTGATGAGACGCGAGACGGTGTTAACGAGAGGTTGGAGGCTTGGAGGCAGGCTGTCGAGTCTAAGGGTTTCAAGTTGAGTAGGACTAAGACAGAATACCTGGAGTGTAAGTTCAGCGCTGAGTCAAGGGAAGTAGGCAGGGATGTGAGGCTTGGATCACAGGTCATCCCCAAGAGAGGTAGTTTCAAGCACCTTGGGTCGGTTATTCAAGGGGACGGTGAGATCGACGAGGACGTCACTCACCGTATAGGGGCAGGCTGGATGAAATGGAGGCTAGCATCTGGAGTTATGTGTGACAAAAAAGTGACACCGATACTCAAAGGTAAGTTTTATAAAGCTGTGACTAGACCGGCCATGTTGTATGGGGCAGAGTGTAGGCCGATCAAGAACTCTCATATCCAGAAGATGAAGGTAGCAGAGATGAGGATGTTGAGGTCGATGTGCGGGCACACTAGGACGGATAAGATTAGGATATTCAGGAGAAGGTGGGCGTGGCCCCTGTGGATGACAAGATGCGGGAAGCGAGGCTCAGATGGTTCGGGCACGTGCGGAGGAGAAGCCTTGATGCCCCGATGAGGAGGTGTGAGCGGTTGGCTTTGGTGGGTACGAGAAAAGGTAGAGGGCGACCTAAGAAGTATTGGGGTGAGGTGATCAGGCAGGACATGGCACGACTGCAGATTTTCGAGGATATGACCCTTGATAGGAAGGTCTAGAGGTCAAGCATTAGGGTTGTAGGCTAGGGGGTAGTCGAGCTTTTTCTACTTCATACTGGGGGTGAGGTGGGTTTGATAGGGTTGATCTTAGATGGTTAGGGGTTAATGTTGAGTCCACACTATCCTTTCTGTTTATCATAGCCCCGGGCCTTAATTACTGGGTATTGTTATTGCATGTCATCTATTTTATGATTTTTATGCTTCTATAACTATTTCTATGGTTTCTCCCAACATTGCTGATGAATTGTCTCTTCTTGTTTTATTTCCGTCTTCCTGAGCCGAGGGTCTATCGGAAACAACCTCTCTGCCCCACCGGGGTAGGGGTAAGGTCTGCGTACACACTACCCTCCTCAGATCCCACTTTGTGGGATTTTACTGGGTCGTTGTTGTTGTTGTTGTTGATTTGGTTTAAATGTTTATATATCAACAAGGCAACTGCAAACTAGAAAAATAGACCAATTGACTTCCGGTAAAAAGCTTGTTGAGATTATCATTAAGCATTTCTTTTGTTGAGCAAGTTGGAAATTGATACAAATTTGTATAAGGTTGGATGTATCGACTAGATGGAACTCAACTTACTTGATGTTTAAGAGTGCACTTCAGTATGAAAAGGCTTTTGCTAGTCTAAATTTGATTGATAGAATTTATGATTAACGTTCGAGATCCAATCAATGGAGAAAGTCAAAGAAAATATGTGAATTCTTGGAGCCTTTTCACGAGACAACTAACTTGATTTCTGGTTCGAGTTATCCAACCTCCAATATCTTTTTTATGTAAGTTTAGAGAATTAAATGCATGCCAAAGAAGAAGTCGCGTAATGAAGATGTAGTTATTAAGGAATGACTTCAAGAATGCGCTAGGAGGTTTGATAATACTAAAGTATGTATGGTGTAGTACATACATTTAGACCAATCCTTGATCCTCTAAAGTTTAGTTACACTAAGGTGGATCCTACTTCTGCATAAGAGCAAAAAGAATAATGAGGAATAACATGTACAAGCTCTATGATGATTATGCAAACAATCGAAATGGAATAACTACTTCTACTATTTTGTGTACATCAAGTGAAAGAAGTCAATCTAAACGGAAGGGATCCAAATTATGCGATGTAAGTAATTTTACTTCACTCTTGATCGAAAAATTAATGTTCAACCTGTTGTAGATTGATACAATTCAATTAAGCAATATTATTTCCTATTTTTCTTATTATTTGCATTCATATTTTTAAGTAATAGGAAATTAAAATATTTGAGAGTAAATTTGCTCGTTATGCTAGAAAGCCGGAATCGAGGAACCAAAGTTTAATTATGAGAAGCTTTTAGAGATGGATGTTGTAGAGTATAGAAAGGAATAAAAGTATTCTGACCTTCCAATGATAGCATGTGAAGTACCCAATGTTCCAATTACCACCGTAGCATCAGAATCGACATCTAGCACCGGTGGTCGTGTTTCCACAAAGTATAGAAGTTGTATCCATCATGAAAATGTGAAACTATTGTTATTACACAAAATTGGTTGCATGGCTTTACCCAACCTATTACTGGTAATATTTTCTATCAAGGTTTATATATATTATTTTTATTTAGTTATTTGCTAATATTTAACTTACTAATATTTTATGTGAATTGTAGATAATATGAAGCCCTTAAATGCAACTGACTTTTCCTTCCACGGGATATCCCCCTCCCCCCCCCCCCCAACCCAAGCCTTGTGCTCCTTCCTCCAATAATTTTTTCATGAAATGCTAACTGGTTAAATTCTTTAATGCCCACCATCTCCTTTCTTTCTCTCTACTTTTACGCTTTATATCCTAGACCACCAACTTATATTGTGGTTAGTGCTTCTTGTGGTATGACCTTACAGTCCTTACATACGGTACATATTTCTCTAGTTTAAATCATTCCAGATTTCTTAAACAATTATCATAAGTAAAAGTTAACCAAAAAAACTTAAGAAGAATATCAAAAAACAAAAACAAAAAACTCGCGATCTCAAAATTATCATAAATTTTCGGGGCAAATTAATCCCATTTCCAAAATTTTGCACTATCACTAAACTTTTGAATAATTTCAAAGACCTCCCCTCAAATTATGCTGCATAACACTAAGCTCCCTTATGGTTTACGATATCATGCTTACCTCCCTTATTTTGATTTTTCTTGTAACAATTCTTTTAACCTATTTATCGCTAATATAAGAAGTGCAAACTGACTTCTTTACCCTTCTAATAGACTTTTATTTAATTAATCTTCTAAACATATCTTTAAAAGATTCTTAAACTTCAACAAGTGTTATTTTAAGTATTTTTTTTTTCGAAGTCTGAGTATCCCAATTCAAAAACAAAGAATCGTCTATATATTCTCTCAATCCTTTCAACAATTCAATTGCCAGAGGAGGAGGATGGATTTTAACAGGGAAGACTTTCATACTCATGGGCACTGCATTTGGAGCATACTTACATCAAAACTATGTAGTTCCAAACCTCAACAAACTCATTGAAGAAGTCGCCTATGTTAAAATCATGTTTATTGAACAGACATACTGCAAACCCAAGAATGTCACTCAACAAGATCAATTCTATGAAAATTAACCAGTGGGGATCATGTCATGCAATCTAATGGGAGAATATCTAATCTTTTCTTTTCGTTTTGTTTCTTTTTTCTTTATGGTTGTGGATGGGGTTAGATTTTAGTTTTATAAAATTATAATTTCCACGGGAATCAATATGGTTTCTTCTCTTAATTAGTCCTAGTCTGTCAAAATTAAACTTCATGGAGTAGTATTTTGACTTTGTGATTGATCAAATCAGTTACCCGAAAAGAGGTTTATGTAAAAGTGAAAAGGAAGAAGAACATGGACGATGAACGCAAATATTAGGGAGGACTTCCAAATCAAGGAAATTAGGTTTTTCTCTTAAAATTTTTGTTAAAGGAGATTAATTAAACTAATTATTTTAATTAGAGGACGTTGATGTTAAAAAGGGCAAATCAGTCAGTTTAAATTTTTTTACACTAATGATAAATATGTTACAAGAATTCTTACAAGAAAAATCAAAATAAGGGAGGTAAGTGTAATATCATAAACTACAGGGGAGGTTAGTGTTACGGAGCAAAACCTAAGGGGAGGTCTCTGAAATTATACCCTTAAATCCTTTTACTTTGTGAGTGCTACATTATTAACTTTATCTTCTTTATCTCTAACTTAGTCAAATAACTAAATTGGGACAAAAGTTAGTAATAACTTTAATAGTTTTGTCTATAGACATGACATAATCTGTAATCATTGTGAGAGAAAAGCGTTTCATCTAGAGGCCAATACCTTCAACCTCCCATGTCCAACATTTACCCAATGAAATGGCTTTTTATTGCATCATGCTTTGTTTAGCGAAGCCACTGATTTACTCCAACATGGAAAAGTGAATGGATAAGTGACAACCTTTTTCCTATGTAGGAAGGTCAAACAACTTATATGCGGTTATTTCTAGATTAATATTCAGTTAACCAACCATAAAGCTACTAAGATGCATTTAATCTGAGCAATCAAAAAAAAATTACCTCTTCATCAGGACCAGGAAAACCACTTAGGTTAAAATTTTGACGCCATCCTCTCTCATACAAGAATGAAACAATTGGACTCCTGGAAAGATAAGAACAACAGCAACTAGAAATGAACATCTACAAAGAATCAAACGAAGTCTCGAACTCTTAATTGCAAGCTTTTACTAGATGCATCAGGAGTCCAACGAAAAAGGGAAAAGGGGGGGGGGGGGGGGGGGGGGGGGTCATCATGAAATAGATCAGGAGAATGATTGGCATTTCATCTGGAAAACCACTTGCGGGAATAACAAAGAAAAGCTTAATCTAACAAAAGAAACAAAGGTCACAAACTAAAAGCATGAATAAAGAGGTATACTAAAACTAAATAAACCATTCTTTACAAATCAACATATTTGACTGCACTAATTGGGATCTAATAATTGTAATAGAAAAATGGGGTAGAAGTTAAATTAAGGCAAATATTCTCAACATTCTAACCAGTAAGGCGCTTCCAGTAATAGAGAAGAATAGCTTAACTTTACAAAAACAACCCAAAAAATGAGAAGATAAAAGGCCATTAACAAATAGCTAAAAAATTACTTGCCACAAATTAAATAGCATTTGCGGACAACCAATTAAAGTAGAGAGCATAGGGCTTAGAAACTGACACCGAACTGGAAGGAAATGATAAGTTGCATCAAGAAAGTGGCAAGTTATAGGGGTATCAAAAGGCTATGATCTCAACACAAGAACTGTGGCGGTGGACCTGTGGAAAAGACTCTAGAAGATAAGGGCATTAAGATCTTAGAAGAAAGAATATATCCACTGCAAATTTAACCCCCTTAGAAAGAAAAATTGTGATGAGAGATTAGATGGACCTGTAGTCCTAAGAACTGACAATTCAGTATATCAGCCCCATCTTCCGAAATCTTAGTTTGATAGATGAATATGTAGCACATAAAATTAAAATAGGACAGGTGACATGGAGGAATGCTATGGAAATTATAAAATAGGAAGATAACAAACAAAGTGAAAGTCAAGATCAATAGAGCAAAATTGTTATATGGGAATGAATGTTGGTCCTCTACGGCCTAACATATCCAAAGATAATTGTGTCCCAAATGAGGAAGTTAAGATGGCTATGTGGTTACACGAGATTAACAAGATTTGAAATGATCACATCCGACAAAAGGTGGCATAGATAGAGGATAAAATAAAAGAAGTCGCCTTAGATCGTTTGGCCATATCCTATATAGACCTCCAAATGCACCTGTCTATAGGCAACAATATGACGATTGAAAAGGGGACGAGGTAGACCAAAAGTCACACAAAAGGAAAATTGTACCAAAAGACAAAGTCTCTCGGGATCAATGCAGACTTAGCCAAGAAAAGATGTAATTGAAGCAATGGTGATGCTAATTAGATGGAATTAAGGCTTAGTTGTTGTAACACTTGTAAGTCCAAGGTTTGTCCTATTAAAGACGTGAATTCAGTGTAGGGAGTGAGATATACTCTAATTTTAAAGAACCTCCTAATTGTGTTAAAAGAGATTTTGTATTAAGAACAAAATGAGCTCAAATAGAGCAAAATAGATTCAGAAGATTCATATAGTCAACCGTAACTAGCTTAGGATTGGGGCACAGTTTATAGGTTTCAATTAACGATTTTTTATAGTAACAAGACAAGAATACAGATTTAAGGATGAGATAACAGTTGAACATCTGCAAGTTTATCAAAAGCTGAATTCTGTAACTTTCTCAAAAACTGATTCCGCAGTCTCTTACTTGTTATTACATAACACTTCCAATTTAAGTAGAAATAATGAGAGAAGAATTTCGAAAAAATAAAAATATCTGCATTGGAACCCATGGTTATGGACCCGGATTCGTTAGTATGGAACATTTTCTTTCAAAGTGAATCTTGCTGCAACTTTTCGATTTTTGTGGATTTTACTTAAGTGTGTGAGGGAGAGGGCTAAGTCTTGCGCAGCAAACTACTATGTTTCTGGACTCTTCATTTTCGTCAACACGCACATTCCAAATGGGGTGGACACACATCTCAATACTAGATAAGAAGCTTTTGAAACTATTTAAACTTGCTAAAATAGGAAGTACAGGTGCCTAATACATACCACTGATAAATACTCACAACCCCATCCATACAGTTAAATGGACATCAATGTTGTTTTTTTCCCACTTCTGTAATTAGTTTAAAGATCGCAGGATTTTGACTCCAAGCCATTAAATGTAAATGTCTAAGGTCCATGCCTTGGATTGCTAACTTTGTAAAGAAATAAGCTACAGTTCAAACACAAATACTTTTGCATATCTTGTGTCATGTCCGCAAGAACAGGACTAGGGGTGTGCATTCGAATCGGTTTATCGATAAATCGAATCGATTATTTGTTATCGGTTTATCGATATCGGTTTATCGATTTATCGATTTCGATTTCGAAATTTTCCTTATCGAGTTATCGATTTCGATTTCGATTTTGTCCTCTTCGGTTATCGGTTTATCAATAAACCGATAGGATATACTAAAGATAATTTTTTTTTTTTACCCTTATTCTATAATACCCTTTCCTGTACCCTAAGTCCCTAACCCTATTATTTCCTCTACCACATTTAAAGAATGATCATATTTAAAGCTCAAGGGAATGAAGTTCAAATTAATGGAAAACAGAATTAGCCGTGATGATGTATTTTGTTTTGTTTTTTTTTTTTTATACGGTTGGAGTGTTTAGTTAGGCGTGTTTATAGCGATATACTTTCCGTAGAATCCCGCAAATTTTCTTAATCGATAACCGAATCGATAAGCCCCAAAAATCAATAAATCGAAATCGAAACCTTATTGAAACGATAACAATAAGCATATGTACAAATCGATAATCGATAAGTAATTATCGATAAGGGTCAAAATCGAACCGATAAATCGAATGCACGCCCCTAAACAGGACAATGCAAGAGAAGAGGGATGAAAAGCTAACGAATTCAAACCACAGTCAACATCTTTAGGCAAATAGTTTCAAACCCAAAAGCAAATCAGAAATTAACAATCAGTACTAGAGCTGGAAATGATTTAATCAAGCAATAACATGAAACTTGATAAGATACCTGAATAGCTCAGTCCGAGCTGGTTTAGATTCATTATATTCTTTCATTCCAGAAGTAACAGTGAGATCAAGGTAGATATTTTTGCTTGAATATGACTTGTTACACTTTCTGCATTTGAAGCCCGATCGGTAGATTGCAGGTCTGCAAGTTTTAAATCCAAAGTCAAACAACAACTAGGCCACAAATCGAAGCACTGTTATTATGCATTTTCCATCTGAACTTACAAGTTAAAACCTGGAGGACCTTTTCTCATAAGCGGTTCATAACAAATTGGGCAAGCAAACAATTCAGCTTCTGTAGCATCTTGAGCTGGAGTTCTCAATTCCTGAACAAGACAGGAGAAAAGATTAACCACATTAAGTTTAAAACTTTAAAAGAATGAAAAAGGAAATTATCCGGTCAAAAAAAAACTCATGACCATCTAATCATAATGTTTACGTATCAACCAGTGAGGAAGAGCTAAGAAATATAGTTCTGTCCAGTTATCTTGATGTGATAATAGTTCAGCAAGATCAGGGGCGGATTTAGGCCTAAAATTTGGGCACGTGAACCCATGGTCTATTTCTCTAGAATTGATGTACTATTATCTATTGGCACCCATGCTCCAAAAAGGTTACCTGGTTCAAAGCTAAGTTATTTAGCTGGAGGAACAGGGATCAATTCTCACTTAATACTTTTTTTCTCCTTTCTTTAATGGTGCGCCTAGATTCGCATAAGAGACAGATAACAAGACAAATATTCAAATTTAATTGTGTATGGACGTGTCAATTTAACATAACTCCGCATTCTGGAAGGGAGCGCTTCCCCCTCTACTGGGTCTTACACTGGGCAAATCCCAATTAGTCGGGGTCAAATGGGAAACCACCACCCAAAAAAAAAAAAAAAAACTCAGCATCCAATTGCATTCAACACGCTCATCATAAAAACTTAGCTCCCTAATTCAAAATATGGTCACAATTAGCATACATAGAGCAGCAACAATCATATGGTACATCATTAGTCTATGATCCTACAACTTAATCAAAATTGAACAGTTAAGTAATTTTAGCATATGAAAATAGTAAATGTTGAGTGACCATTTATGTCAGTAAAAAAATTTAGAGACTTTTGCAATTCCAATAATTACCGGTTCAACAGCAACAGCAGAGCTAGCTCTGATTCTTGAAGTGAACCCACGAGAGGAAGACCTTGTAGGAATACTAATTCCTGAATTCAAAGAAACCCCATGATATTTGGGAATCAAAGAACTATGATGATTTAAAGAAAGTGAAGGGGAAACAGCAGCAGCAGCAGCAGTGGCCATTAATGAAATTCAGTGAGAGTTTCCTTGTGTTTTCTTACGATTTGACTTTCTTTGAGTATAGAGATATACAAATAAGCCTATGTAAATGGGTGTTTTCACAAGGGAGAGAAGATGGGGAGGAAATTTTTGATGATTTTGATTCATATTTTATGAAGTAGGTATTTTGTTTGAGGATGAATATTGGCCACATCACTTTGATTTATTGGTTTTGTTCTTATAAACCACTAGTAATGGTTCAATATTAAAAAAATATTAATTAAATTATAATCTGGCTTGTTTGATCCTATTGGACCATATTACTTTAATAAATTTCAATTGTCATCTTATTTGTCAATACGATATACCCAACCCTCACCGATGTTTGAGTAGTTAATTTCTTTGTTAATTTTCAATAAATAATTTTTTTGTTATTAACTAATTATGCCATGTGGCTTTTTCTAGGCTACAACTTGGATTAGTGTGGTGCCTATTTTTTTGGCTTTTAATAATATATAAATAGATTATTATCATATTACTTGTTTAATATTTTTATCTGCTATTCTTTTGTAATATAATAGAAGATATATATTTTATTACTCTTGAAAATATATTTTTTATTTTAAATTTTATTTATATTTTTCTCAATAATATTATTTGAATTTTAATGAATAGATATACTTTTATTTCAAAAAATAAAAAAGAAAATGATTTTAAAAATGAAATAAAGAAATTAACTAACTTAAACCAACCATCACCCATGTTTTAGTAGTTAATTTAGGTACTTAATTTCTTTGTTAATTTTCAATAGATAATTTCTTTGTTGTTAACTAATTATTCCATAAGATTTTTTCTAGGCTACCACTTGGCTTAAGGAGAGGGCTTTATCCTCTCCTTTTAAAACTCCAACTTGAAACTACTCCTTGATTTAAATGAGTAGTTTTTCTTCTTCTTTTTTTTTTTATTATAGTTAATTTTTTATATTTTAAAATAATTTTAAAACTGCAAGTTGAAACTACTCCCACCCAATATTAATGGGTAGTTATTTTTAATATATTTATATTTTCGATTTTTTATTATAATTAATTATAAGATATCTATATTTATTAATTAAAATAAAGTAACCAATTAATATATATATATATATATGGTAGTTTTTTATTTTTTATTATTTCGTTTTTTATAGATATTTAAATTCAAATATAATAACTAATGACTAATTATTAACTAAAAAATATTAATTAAATTATAATCGGGCTTGTTTGATCCTATTAGACCGTATTACTTTAATAAATTTCAATTGTCATCTTATTTGTCAACACGATATACCCAACCTCACCGATGTTTGAGTAGTTAATTTCTTTGTTAATTTTTAATAAATAATTTTTTTATTATTAAGTAATTATGCCATGTGGCTTTTTCTAGGCTACCACTTGGATTAATGTGGTGCCTATTTCTTTGGCTTTTAATAATATATATATAGATTATTAGCATATTACTTGTTTAATATTTTTGTCTGCTATTTGTAATATAATAGAAGATATATATTTTATTACTCTTGAAAATATATATTTTTCATTTTAAATTTTATTATATTTTTCTCAATAATATTATTTGAATTTTAATGAATAGATATACTTTTTATTTCAAAAAATAAAAAAGAAAATGATTTTAAAAACGAAATAAAGAAATTAACTAACCTAAACCAACCCTCACCCATGTTTTAGTAGTTAATTTAGGTAGTTAATTTCTTTGTTAATTTTCAATAGATAATTTCTTTGTTGTTAACTAATTATTCCATAAGGTTTTTTTCTAGGCTACCACTTGGCTTAAGGAGAGGGCTTTATCCTCTCTTTTTAATAATATATAGAAGATATATAGAATATAGAATATTAGAAAGAAACTACTCCACAATTTGAATCAAAAGTTTTTTATTGCTTTATTTTTGTTTTTTTATTTTAAAATAATTATAAAACTCCAACTTGAAACTGCTCCCCAATTTGAAATTGTAATTTTTTATTTTAAAACTCCAACTTGAAACTACTCCCTGATTTGAATGAGTAGTTTTTCTTCTTCTTTTTTCGTTTTTTTATTATAGTTAATTTTTTTTATTTTAAAATAATTTTAAAACTCCAACTTGAAACTACTCCCACCCAATTTGAATGGGTAGTTATTTTTTATATATTTATATTTTCCGATTTTCATTTTTATTATAATTAATTATAAGATATCTATATTTATTTAATTAAAATAAAGTAACCAATTAATATATATTATATATATATATGGTAGTTTTTATTTTTTTATTATTTTCCTTTTTTATAGATAATAAATTCAAATATAATAACTAATAACTAATATTAACTAAAAAACTAAATAGTAACTAATTATGCCATGTGGCTTTTTTTGATGCTACCACTTGGCTTAAGGAGAGGGCTTTATCCTCTCCTTTTAATAATATATATATATATATATATATATATATATATATATATGGTAGTTTTTTATTTTTTATTTTTTTCATTTTTTATAGATAATTAAATTCAAATATAATAACTAATAACTAATTATTAACTAAAAAACTAAATAGTAACTAATTATGCCATGTGGCTTTTTTTTATGCTGCCACTTGGCTTAAGGAGAGGGCTTTATCCTCTCCTTTTAATAATATATAGATATAGATTATATATAATTCAGAATGTTGGGTGCTGTGACTGCTGTCCACATGTCCCATGCCCTCTTTTATTTGGTACTCCATCCGGTTCATAATAAATAATCGAGAAGGAATTAACGTTATTTTTTCAAAATTTATTCTTATTTACACATTCCAATATATCAAGTTAATAATAGAGGACAATAACAACATACTCAGTATAGTCCCACAAGTAAGGTGTAGGAGAGTAGAGTGTACGCAGTCCTTACTCCTATGTTTAAGAAAGCATGGAGGTTGTTTCCGATAGACCATCGGCTCAGAAAAGACAAATGGAAGAAAATAACAAGCAAACCAGATGGGATACCAAAGCGAAAATACTAACAAAACTAACACTAAAGAACGCAAACAGAAAACCGAAATAAAGGCAGTAACAAGGAATAACAGAAGTCTATGGATACACAAAAGACACGAAGTGATGTATCAAACCTAATACGGACAATGCTCGACTACGTAACTCTTGACCTTTATACTCAACCTCCACCCCTTCCTATCCATGATCATGTCCTTAGTAAGCTGGAACAACGTCATATCTCGCCTAATAACCTCTCCCCAATACCTTTTCGGCCTACTTCAACCTCTCCATTGGCCCTCCAATGCCAGCCTCTCACTCCTCCTCACCGGTGCATCTGTGCCTCTCCAAGTTAACAATATATAAATGTTAATTAAGAGCAATTTAATGAAGTATCTTTTTTCTCTCGGAGTTAAAATTTTCTAATGGGGTATGCCAAATGCATAAAAAGTCACTTATTATAGATTGAAGTGAGTAAAATTTTACCAACACTATAACAATGACTAAGCTTTGTGATGTGTGACTATGATTCCATAGTTTCGTACATTATGTGCCTTGCATTTTATATGCTTTAACGATAAATTATATTTTATTTGCGCGTAATGGAGTCTATTTTATGTGTAGGTGTATTGGAGGTGAAAGTAGAGCAAAAGGAATACTTAAACGTTGAAAGTGTACTCGAGAACAGTGAAAAGGAGGGACCTGGCGAGGCTAGGCAAATGCCAGCTTAACCAGGCTTTAGTCTGGCAAGGCCAGCCAAAGGCCAGCTTAACCAAGTGTTAGCGTAGCGAGGCCAGCCAAAGGCCAGCTTAACCAGGCGTTAGCCTGGCGACGCCAGGCCTGGGGCGTGCACATTCCGAATTTTGAAGACTTATTTCGTCTCCTGGTTTGACTAGGACTTGGCCTACATGTTTAGGTCTTTTTCTACACAAATAAATAGACCTAAACGTCACTTTTGACAGAATTTAGACCTAGGCAGAGCACGGAGCCGCCGTGGAGATTGGACAGGGAATTGAGACCTACGGAGGCAAGAACACACTAGGAGCAAGGCGGAGAATTCTTCTACGAGTTTTTCACTTCCTTCTTCCTATTTCCATTATTGGTTATGAATTCTAGTATTGTAGTTATGCATACTATTATGAATAGCTAATTTGTTATCTAGAATTTTGATGGAACCTATTGGTGGATGATTTTCCTGTTACGTTAATATAGATTTGTTGTAGCTTTTTCTCTATTTGTTCAACTACGTTTATATTGTGGTTGGTTGAAAAGCTCTCAATCGACTGTGCTATTTAGTGTGTATTACTCGGGAGAGAGTGCATATTTAGGTAGTTGTTGAACAACATCACTCCTAACGTATATGAGGGATCAATACGGAGGGTCTAAAGGTGGGATTAGGGATAACAAAACCTTGGTGCGATCCGAGTGAGCCGTACTTAATGCCAGCTAGCGTAATTCGGGAGAATATGTCTAGTAAATTGTGGTAGTTACTCGGGAGAGAATTACAACACTCAGAGCACTCATGTCGGTAGAGAAAACTTAGGCAAATTTATAGAAAACGTAGCGGAAAGGATTCCGACAATAGGGGAAATCATAACTCTAGAGCTTCTTAATTTTGTCTCAATCCTTATCCTTGTTAATTGATAGTTTTACTGCTTTCTAGTATTTAGTTAATTAGATAAAAATAAATATTATAATCTTTATAATTAGGAAATTGTTTGGACTTGTGTTTCTTAGCGATATTGAACAACTATAGCTAAGCCTTAGTTCTCTGTGGGACTCGACTCTGGACTTGTAAACCGGATTATATTTGCAACGACCGCTTAGTTCTTTTTATAAGGCAAAGTTGGGCGTGATCACTTTGGTCCCAAAACAATTAAGATGTTATATGAATATCACCTTCTCCATTTGGTCAACTCATGTTATCATTACTCTGTGTATATGAGCGTACTCATATTGTCAGTCCCAAACTCAAATAAAAGAGGACTATTACGGGGCTAACTACGAGACTAAGAGCTGATCCTAAGGACTATTATTATGTATTATTGTTGATGTGAGAAAACTTTAGAATGAATGTTATGCCTCTATGTTTTTCTTTAAGTTAGTTGTGAGTTGCTTGATGATGTAGGGGTCGTTCAGAACAAGGATATCTTAGGATTATAATTCCAAGATTATCATTATGAGATAGATAATATATATTAAGATTTTAGTATTAAATGTATACCAGTTTTAACTATACCAATAACCAAACACAGAATAAATATAATCTTAAATTTTATACCAGAATTAATCCCAATAGTGAAACGGCCCCTAGGGAAGTTAAGGCTTGTTGTTAAGGAAGTTGGTTAGCTTGGCGGAGTAAGACCACTAATAGCCTGTTCGGCGGAGCTTTTTTTTTTGGCCAAAAATGCCTTTTTCCAAAAGTATCTTTTTTAAAGTTGAGGTATTTGGCCAAGCTTTTAGAAGAAAAAACGTGTTTTTGACTAAAGCAGAAGCAGTAGCAGTCTTTGAGAAGCAGAAAAAACTAGCTTCTTCCCAAAAGCACTTTTTTGAAAAGTATTTTTTAGAAAATACTATAGAAGTACTTTTACAAGCTCGGTCAAACACTAATTGCTGCTCAAAAATCTTTTTTTAAATTAATTAGACAAACACAAACTATTTCTTACCAAAAGTAATTTTTTTAACAAAACACCTTTAAAAAAATCACGTTTTAAAATAAGTTGATTTTATAGCCCGTTTGGCCAAGCTGCAAAAATCAGCTTATTTTGAGAAGTGCTTTTTTTTAAAGGCGCTTTTTCTAAAAAGTACTTTTTAGTGAGAAGTCAATTTTGTATTTGACTAATTATTAAAAAACACTTCTGAGCAGCAATTAGTGTTTGGACAATACAGAAAACTTAAAGGGGGAAGTTCACGGTTTAGCCACTAATAACACATGTATTTACTTTTAAGTCACTGTTTAAAATGTCTTTAGTCTTTAGCCATTGCTTTAATAAACTTTACCTGCCCGGACGAAAACACCCTTCTTCTCATAAAAGTTCAGGACCAAGTGTCCTTAATTTTTGAACTTGCAACTCTAAGTTCAGGACTTCAGGATTACATGTCCTTAACTTTTGAACTTGCAACTTTAAGTTCAGGACTTCACGACTACATGTCCTTAACTTTTGATATTGGAACTCGAAGTTCATGACCACCTGTCCTTAAGTTCAGTGCTTGTAAGTCTAAGTTAAGGGCTACTTTTCCTTAACTTTTGAACTTGTAAGTCTAAGTTCAGGACCTATTATCACGACCCGGACTTCCCATCCTCGGGAGTCGGGATGGCGCCTACTCATGAAAGCTAGGCAAGCTGAGTATTACAGATTTTATTACCCTTTTTCCTTAACCTTTATGCATTTACGAATTAACATGTGATCAACAGCGGAATAATCATAATAAATAGAAATTGCGGAAGACGAAATCTAATAGTTTAACTAAATACTAGTACGATAATCCAAAATACAACTCTACCCAGANATAGCCCCGTTTGGCCAAGCTGCAAAAATCAGCTTATTTTGAGAAGTGCTTTTTTTTTAAAAGCGCTTTTCTCAAAAGTACTTTTGGTGAGAAGCAGTTTGCGTTTGGCTAATTAGTTTGAAAAGCACTTCTGAGCAGCAATTAGTGTTTGGCCAAGCTTTAAAAAACTGCTTCTAAGTGTATTTTTCTCAAAAGTGCTTCTCAAAAAAGTGCTTTTGGAGAGAAGCTACTTTTTTCTGCTTCTCCAAAACTGCTTCTGCTTCTCCTCAAAAGTACTTTTTTTTTCTTCTAAAAGCTTGGCCAAACACCTCAATTTTTGGCCAAAAGTGCTTTTGACAACAAAAAAACACTTTTGGCCAAAAAGAAGCTTGGCCAAACAGGCTATTAGAAACTTAGCCAAACAAGCTGTAAAATCATCGCAACGTGTTAAGTTGGTCCTGACAATCAAACCTTGACTTGTCAAACTCATTAAAATAAGATAAGCTGTAAACTTTTCTATTTCATAATATGACAAGAAAACAATCCAATCTGAAAGACCAATACTGGGTAAAAAAGAAAGAAAATAACACCGTCCAAACATATTGGGCAATTATACATATAAAAGAATCTCCAATTCTCCAAATAAGACTGATTAATTAGGACTTAATCCAACATAATCAGACTGCACATATGGCTGAAACCACTCATCATAGAAACTCTTCTTTCTTCTATTGTTGCACCGAATGTCTTTGCACAATTGATCATTGTACCAAATATGTAAAGCTGCAATGCAAGCTCTTTTATACTCTTTCCCTGCATATTTTTTCATGTAAATTTCCCACATTTCAATCTCTTTTTCCATCTCTTTTATGCTTGGCAACTTGAAACTTTGGTCAAGAAAATGTGCTAGCCATTGACACCTCATCTCAGATGTGTGAAGATTTGTAATGCTCCCTGAGTATCCTATTATTGCTAGTTGTGGTATTCTTGGATGAATTATGTGCCTGTCCAAATATTACAAAGAAAAAAAAATAGCAAATCATATCAGAAACATGAAAGGGAGCCTTGGAGCAACGGTAAAGTTGTTTCCATGTGACATATAGGTCACAGATTCGAGCCGTGGAAGCAGCCACTAATGCTTGCATTAGGTTAAGCTGTCTACATCACGTCCTGGTGTGCGGCCCTTCCTTGAACCTTGCATGAATGCAAAATGCTTTGTGCATCGGGCTACTTTTTTTTATATCATAAACGTGTAACTTATTCTAGAGAAAATGTCTAAATTTGCCCTTCTATTATTAAAAGTATTTTAATATTAGCCTTCGTTATGTTTTTGGGTATATTTTTGCATCTTTTCTCCGGCCAAGAGTCTATTGAAAACAGCCTCATTATCTGTTCAAGATATAGGTAAGGTCTGCGTACACACTACCTTCTTCAAACCCCGCTAGTAGGATTATATTAGGTATATTATTGTTGTTGGTTTGATAGTAGTAAATAAGTAATAGTGTGTACCTGTAAAGAGGAACAATTGATTTAGGTGAGCCCATGATATAGTTTTGAAAACTTTTTGAGGCAAACATATTCTTCAGCTTCTCTTGACCTTTATATCCAGTAGCAAATATAACAAGGTCAGCTTTTATAGGCTCATCAACTTCTCCATCAATAATCAATCCTTGTTTGCAAAAAGAGAAACACTGTGTTTGCTTAAGAATAATGCTTCCTTCTTCCACTTTTCCATAGAAATTATCAGGTAATAAGAATGCTTTGCAAGAAGACATATCCTGAAGAAAGCTTTGTTTTGGTACCATGTTGTACTTCTTCAATGGAAGATTCCACCTAAGATAGCTCTCCACAAATTTTGAAAAACCCCATCTCTGAAAAATTGTATTGTTCAGTAAAAATAAAAGCATTAACAAATAAGATTATATATATAAAGGAAAAAAAATTATATATGAAAAAAGGGTCAAATTTGTTCATATATTATCTGAAATTGGGCAACTTAATCATCCTTGAAATATTTATCTAATATTACCCTAATCAATAGGAAAAAATCTCATTTTTACCCCTTATGAAGCACCATCACTCGGGTTATTTTAAGGACAAAATACAAAATTGGCTGGTTGGTCGAAACTAATTGTATTTGCCAATCAAAAAGTGTATAAAATATGTATATTATATTTATATAATGCACACACACAAACACACAAACACACACATATATATATAAATTATCGGCTATTATTTTTGCAGCAGCTAAAAGTTATACATTTCTCTAATTTTAAATTATAATCAAAAGTTGAGGGATAAATTTGAACTTTTTTCCTCCCACTCATATCATGTTGGAGCTCCACTAACAGCGAATTCAAATATAAGATGATTTGCTAACGTTAAGGGTATGAATGAATAAATAAACCGGATGATAAAATTGAGCAATTTTGAATCGTACACGGGGAAATTTAGACATTTTCCCTACTTTATTTTCTTAAGGGAATGGATTTCAAGAAAATTTACCAGAGGGGAAAGCACGGTGGCCAAGGCACTGTAAATGATGTTCTGACCAGGCTTGTGAACCAAGAGTTCTGAAAAGCGACTACCATATAGAAATCCAAGATTAATTCCCCACCAAAAGCAACCATTCGGAAGAGCCCATGCTATTGTCCTTTGAACCAATGTACAAGGATTTCCAGGACCTAATTTACAAATATGATCAAATTTTGGTTCAGTTTATGATGGCCAATAATAAGATTATTTGATATTTGGTGCAGAACACCAGGGATGAATAGGATCCTTCTACTCTTAATCAGAAGTCAGGGATCCGAGCCCTAAAATGATTTCTTTTTTTGGTGTGTAGAAATGACATCGGGTAGCCACTTTAAAGTGCTACTATTCAGAAATTAGCCATATGTTCTGAATTTCAGTTTTTTAGTTCTATTTCCCGGGATGCAAATGTCCTGAATCATCTTGAAATTAAGATTTTTAGTTTAAAATTCTCAGGACAAAAGAACCGGCTAATCCCTGAATAGCAACCCTAAGAATGGCTATTTGTGTACTTCCCCCGAGAAGTTTGTGTAGGAAGCGCTTCCCCCTTTAATGGGCCTTACACAGTGCAGATTCGGATTAGTCGGGCCCCATATGCTGGTGCAAAATATCAGGTAGGAAACCAAGAAAATATATATATGAAAATAAAGGATTATGATCAAAGCAGTTTCTTACCATTAGCAGCAGCACATTCAGCAGCAATATCTATAGCTGATTTCTGAGAGCCAATAACTGCAATTCTTTTCCCTTTAATTAACTCTCTAGCACTTTCATTGTCCATAGCTGAATACTCCATAGAATGTATTACTGTCCCAGAAAAAACATCAGGCCCTTCACCTATAGGGAACTCTGGTATATTTGGTAGACCACTATATCTCCCAACACATAGAATCAAAAATTCTACTTCATAATCCTGGAATTAAGAACATAAATGAGTTAAATTTTCATACGATAATAATATAAAAAAATTTACACTATCAAGTTAAGATGACATGCGGAATGATCTATAGAAAACCTAATTTGGTAACTTAAAAACAAATTAATAAATTAGTAATATGATATAACCAGTTAAAATACACTAGTCAATCAGTTCCAATGTATATGACGCTCTTACTATTTTGGTACATTCGAAAACCATTCTATTCTCTATACAATACCTTAGACTATTCACATTTTAACTTTGATGCGATATTTGCTTTCTTTAATACTCTCTTCCGTCGTCACCAAATTAATATTTTAAACTCCGTGCTCATTCAGACACTTTACAAAAAATAAAATAGAGTGAGTAGAAGTGTAAAGATCTTTATAATGTCAAGATATATAAGATAATTAATTCCATAGATTACTACTTCCTCCATTTCTGTTTGTATAAACCTTTTCCATTTTCTAGAATTAATTTAACTTATCTTTGAAGCTAAATTAGATTACTCAATATTTAAAATTAAAAGTTATATATTCAACAACTATACGAACATAATATATAAGTTGCATTTCTCTCAAAGAGCAAAATTGTTTATTTAAACCGGAATGAATGGAGTACTATTTATTATTGGTGGAAGAAGGTTGAACGAGTAAGTTTTAAAAGATTTATTTTCACAGATTTTGTAACTAAATCAGAAATACGTTATCTATAAATTTTAAATTTCAAAACACTTAAACGAGTAATTAATTAATCTTGGCTAATGTAGATCTCTTTGGATCTCTAAAAATGAATAGCAATAGGAGCAACTTAAGTCAAATGGAGTTACAGGGTACGTATGAATCAAGTTATATGTTTGGCACGTGCGACATCTCTTAAGTATTTTTTAAACTCTAACTTACAAATATTCCATTCAGTTTCAAATATCAATTGTTTTAACGAATGAATTTACTTCAGAATATTTGACCTTTAAAAAATCAAGAACTTATTTATCAATATATCTCCTAAATCTATCTATTTTTGTTCTGGTCCCAAATCTATCTTTACTATCCCAATTAGCGGAGTCTTTTTGTTTCCAACCTGGTATCTGGTACCTACATTGACGCCCGACTAAATTAGGATTCATGCCAAAAAGTCCTATATTTTGGGGGGTAAAGCGCTCCCTAACAAAGGCGACGTCATACCCAAGGCTCGAACCTGAAACTTCTGGTCAAGGATGAAAGATACTTACCACATTCCACCATAACCCTTGTTGGTAATTAGCGGATTTCATTAATATGGACCGTATGTAGCCGATTTTTTTTGTGTGGTTATTCTAGTGTTCAGTATCCGAATTTGATCCCGACTAATCCAGATTCGTTCTGCATCAGGATTTTTTTCATTCTCAGGATTCAAACCCAAGACGCTTGATTTGGAGTATGGAGAGATCATATACATCCCACCGCAATCTTTGGTGGTAATGTAGTAGATGTGATTATACAGCAACAAATTAATCAATCCTAAACTAATGTAAGACATCGAGAAAGAAGAAAAGTTTTTGTTTTTTCTTTCAGTTTAAACATACATACCTGAGTGGTGAAGTCCTCAGCATGTTGCACCAAAATATGCCATTTCCCCTTAGAGCCAAAGGGTTTCCCATTTCCACTCCAAAAATTCCAAGAATCCATTTCTTCATCAGAAACTCCAACATAATCTATCCCAATGACTTTTGTATTCAACTGAATATAAGGAAGCAACTCAAAATGTTGAGCATAAGCCTCAATATACTTCAAAACATCAGTATTATGAGGATATCTTCCTCTAACTGAAGAAGGCCAAGGAAAATCAGTGAATTCAAATGTTCTCTTTGGACTTTGTAGCCTAGTTGATTCAATTGTTTGAGTCCAAACTCCTCCAATTTCATTTGAAGCTTCAAAAACTATAGGAATAAAGCCTTTTTCTAATGTGTATTTGCATGCAAGAAGTCCACTGATTCCAGCTCCAATAATAGCTACTCTCTTATTCTCCATGATATGAAATAAGGATACAATTTCTATTGAAGAAACTGAGAGTGTTAGGACAATATATAAAAGAGCAGCACAAGATACCATGCGTTAACACAAGGTCCGGGGCAGTGGCGTATGCATGATTTTTTGTAAGCGGTGTCAGCATTTGAAGAAATGAACGAATAAATACATCACTATAATAACAAGCGGTATCATTTTTTATATTTATATATAATATTTTTATTTCATATACTATCTATATACACATATTTAATAAAAAGTTCGACGAATCGGTATTACGTAACACTATTTCTCGCCAGGTGTATTCGCCCCTGGTTTGAAAAAGGACTGTATTCCAAAAAATTAATGTAAACAATCTATCATAATAAAAGCATTACAACTTATAAGGACTTTGAAAAGTTAGGTAACTTTTTACGCGCAGAATATTTAATTTAATTTTCTTGTACTCTTGATGCAATTAAGGAAAACTGTATTAAATGAATTTGTACTAGTTTAAATTCATAGAGGTCCAGCTCTATCTCTAATAACGTTTAAAAAGGCTAGTTGAGTACAAGACAAAATTAGTTAATGTATGTCAAATCTCAGAAGAAGAATCCAATAAGATATATATGTTAATAGGAGTAATATCATAATTCATATGAAGCTGCTTTTTTATAATTAATTATTACTCCCTCCCATCTACTTTTATTGATTTTTTAATTATTTTCACACGTATTAAAGAATTTATATTTTTAGCATTAATTAACAATAAAAATGACAATATTAACGTTAATTTGTCATTGGACATATAACAAATACTTTTAGACTCTTTACTCCAATTAACTTTGAAGAAAAAGAAGTTAATAATTTCTTGATATCTGAAAAAATTATATGTTTTGAGTCCGTGACTCTGACATGTACAGCGACAATACGCCATTGTTTATATATGTATGGCCAATATGGACGAGCCTTTCATTATTGTATTTGGACAGTAGGAGCGGACTGAGTCGGTATTCGTCTACAAAAGGCACACTCGTATGCCTTTCGAGGCTTCTCCCAAAGAACTGCACGCGATAGGAATATTTCTTGTGCTCTTTAAAATTTTTATATATAATAGCGCTCAATTTGGTCATTAAAATTATTTCATTACTTTAAGTTCAACTTAAAATATAAAACAATGTTTGTTATAAAATTTATTTTATTATTTCAACTCCAACGTAAAAGAGAAAATTGAAGTTGACAAACTAATTTGAATAGTATTTACAAGTGAAATTCAAATTTTTTACTTACAAAACTTCAAACTTTCTTTCCAAAGTCAAATTAATGTTCAAATGTGTCAAACATAAGAAATATCTTTCTGATATTCAACTTCAAATATTTTTTTTATTTTATTAACTCCATCAAAATATTGTCCAAACACCTACAGTTATAATTTCATCTACATAATTAATATTAAATTATTTGTTTCTAGGTTAATCACTTAGGTGCAAAGATAAAAGGAATAAAAAATGATATAAATAAAAAACCGAAGGATGAATAAAACTTTAAAAAAATTAAAGGGCAGATATGGAAATAAACGCAAATAATGATACTCTTTATATTCCAATTTACGTGAAGGTATTTGGATTTTGAGAATCAAACAATTCTTAATATTTTTTTATGTAGTTTCTACATTTGTAAATTTTATCTCAAAAAATCTAAAGACTCTATCTTCAAATTCACGATTAAATTAAAGATCCGTTTGGCCATAGATTTCTTTTTACGTTTTTTCGAATTTTTTTTACTTTTTTTTTCTGGAATCAGTGTTTGGCCATGAAAATTTTAAATTTCACTTGAAGTTGAATCTCGAAATTTTTGGAAATTTGAAAAACTTCAAAAAGCTATTTTTTTGAAAAATTTCACTTCAAATCAATTAAAAAATAACTCCAAATTGTATTTATGTCCAAACACAACTCTAATTTTCAACTACATACCATTTCACTTGATTTTTTCATACTTTTTTTTCGGAATTTCAAAATTCTTATATCCGAACCCACTAAAAAGTTTGAATTTCGATAAGTAAAATGTATCACATAAATAGTAAAATGTATCACATAAATTGAGACAGATAGAGTATAAGATTACCTGAACAAGAGGCTCTAATAACAAGCTGACGTCAAAACATATGAGGTTATGAACTCCCTCTCTGGGAAAAAACAAAAGCAAATTAAAAGAGAAAGCGTTATATCAAATGTTCACTCAAATCCTATATGATAAATTGCATTAAGACTTCAAGGCCTTTATATAAGTTTACAAAATTTTAATATTATGAGTTACAAATCAATGTGGGACAAATAAGCCCCACTTGAATACAAAATTGAAATAGTTGTTTAGATTAAAGTTAATCTTTAAAAGTTGATGCTCATTAAATGTAATCAAAACTTACTTATCATAAGAATATAATCCAAACTTGATTGGGGTAAGTAATTAATTAAAGAATCCACCATTAATCATCAATTTGCGGTAAGTAATTAATTAAAGAATCCGCTAATAATACATTAAGAGTTTTAGATATTATTCAATAAAGAACAAAAATATTTACGCAATCAGGTCACTTAAAAACTAATGAAACTTAACGTTTTACACTACCAATATGGTTGAACTAGCTTAATTTTGAGGATAACTCTTATTAATTCCCATGTAGCCAATACTTTAAAGTGTTGGGCAGCCCGATGTACTAAGCTCCCGCTATGCGGGGTGTTCGAGGAAGGGCCGGACTACAAAAAGTCTACTACACGCAGCCTTACCTTACATTTCTGCAAGAGGCTGTTTCCACGGCTTGAACCCGTAACCTCCTGGTCACATGGAAGCAACTTTACCAGTTGGGCTAAGGCTCCCCGTAACAATACTAAATGATATGGATCGGGTTGCACGCCGCAACAGTGATGATTATGGATCGGGTTGCACGCCGCAACAGTGATGATTATGGATCGGGTTGCACGCTGCAACAGTGATGATTATGGATCGGGTTGCACGCCACAACAGTGATGATTGAGGATCGGGTTGCGCGCCGCAACAAGTTATAACTTAAGTGTGTTTATTCCGGATTTAAGTTTCTGTTGGCTGTTATAACCTTAGAATTTAGACTCCTTGTTTATAACTGTTGCCTCCCCACAGCATGCTCCCCCTCCCTTATAAACTGCTTATTTCCTGTTTATTTTTCTGCAATATATATATATATATATATATATATATATATATATATATATATATATATATATATATATATATATATATATATATATATATATATATCGTAACTGCACAGGTTTAACTGGTAGTCTGGTCTAGCCTCGTCACTACTTCGCCGAGGTTAGGCTAGCCACTTACCAGCACATGGGGTCGGTTGTGCTGATGCTACACTCTGTGCATCTTTTTGCACAGATCACAGCGCCGGAGCAGCAGCCTTTGGACAGCAGTAGAGGATTCGGGAGCTGACTTCAGTCCAGGGACATTCGAGGTAGCCTTGCTGACGTCCGCATGCCCGGAGTCCCTTTCTATTTTATTCAGTTTGTTATCATTTGTACCGAAGCAGACAGTTTTATGTTTCATTCGAACCTTGTATTTAGTATTCTCTAGACGTTCGTGAGTATTGTGACACCAGTCTTGGGTAGAGGATTTTGTTAAACTTCCGCATTTCTTTCAGTTAAATATATTTGAGACTTCCGCTTCATTATTAAATGCTTCATTGTTTCTAATATTGACGATGTTTGCTAAAAGAGGTAATTGATAATTGGCTTGCCTAGCTCCTACTAGTAGGCGCCATCACGACCCCCGAGGGTGGGAAATCCGAGTCGTGACATGAAGAAGCTTATCACTTCGGTACCCGGTTATGGATAAACATTACCCCCGGTAGAAGATTATCCATACCGAGTACAATGAGCTTATTCTTTCAGTACTCCGTTATGGATAAATATTACCCCTAGTAGAAGATTATCTATATCTGGTACAGTGAGTTTATCCTTTCAGTACTCCGTTATGGATAAACATTACTCTCAGTAGAAGATTATCCATATCTGGTATAGTAGCAGCTTACACAGTAGCTTGCAGTAGCAGCTTACACAGTAGCTTGCAGTAGCAGCTTACACAGCAGCTTCCTTTCTTCTATAAATAGAAGAGATTTCAGTTCATTATGTACATCAGTTTGAATTCGAATAATATATCAATTTCTCTCTATACTTATCTTTACGTTACGGTCTTTATTTTATAACATCAACGTGTTTTTCTCGATGGAAAAAAAAACGTGTTTTCTCGATAAAAAAATAAAATGTTTTTCCTTCGTCCCTGTTCCATTATTTATTTGTCTTGAAACGTTCTCCATAACGCTAACGACAAGTTCCATTAAAATATGGAATCTTACTATTGTTTTTTATAATTAGTTAATGCATTGGAAGTATCTGCAGAATTGATCGCTCCACCTACCATTTTTATACGCGAAAAATCTTCAGACCCAGCATAAAATACTGGAGTTCCAGCATAATATGCTAGAAGTTCATAAACAGGTGCTCCAATCTCTAATATATTATACTGGAACTTTCCGTGTGCTGGAGTTCCAGCATAATATGCTGAAAGTTCATACACAAGTGCACCAATCTCTAGTATATTATGCAAGAATTTTTCGTATTGCAGCAAAATAGTGGCTATTTTTCAATGACTTTGCAAACGCTGGCTATTTTTCAATTACCAATCCGAAAACTGGCTAGCCCATGCTATTTCTCTATAATCAATCATATGAAAGGAAATAAACTAGTGCTCGAGTGCCCGGTACATGTTTTGGACCTCCGATTAATCTGAATTCTCATTTAAGGCCCATTAAAGGAGAAAGCATTTCTTACCAGAATTTTCTCTATTTTAGACCTCTGATTAAAGATGGAGAGATCCTATCGATCCCACCGCAAGTCCTTATGATAACAAGTGAATTATGTCAAATGTAAACCACATGATGCCGGCCCTAGGGTACTTCTCCTAAGAGGTGAACAGAGGAAGAAGACATTTTCTTAGTTTATCAGCATATTAAAGCTAGTAGTTATATTTTATAAGAACTAGAAGTAGTCAATACCTTCAGCATCGTTCGATACATGTTAGCCGAAGATCACAAAATTAAAGAAGAAATCCAATATGTCTAGGTGCTTAATTATATATATTGTTAAACGAGCTTAATTGACTTCTATTTATTGTTTTTTTACACTATGTGCAGTTCACCTTAAAAATAATTAGAAGTACCAACATGGGTTGTGGTGGGATGGATAGGATCCAGAGTTCTATCATTAACCAGAAGTCTCGGGTTCGACCTCATACCTGAAAAAACATTAATAGGGAGTGCTTCCCCCTTAAATGAGCTTAATTATGCGACGTGAATCCGGATATAGTCGGGCTCCAATGCGGATACCGAATATCGGATGGGAAACCAAAAAGAAAAGTAACTATTCATAATCAGAAAAATTACTAACCGGGAAATTATGCAAGTAACCTTATACAATAGGTTAAATTCAGGATAAAATCCTTTTAAATTATGATACGATAACAGATCTAAATTAGTAATGATAAGCTAATTATATGGTCTTTTCAATCATAAATTCACTAGTAGGATATATTTTTAGCATTTCTCGTATATGTTTTGGTGGTATTACAAGAACCACTTAACATATAGATTATAGACTTAATTTGTTGCAATAAAGTTGAAGTGAGAATACTATCAAGAGAAATAGCTTCATTTAAACATGATTATTGGTAAAGCTAATATATAAATTGGGCTTACCGCAAATTTACTTCATGGTAGTGTTGCTCATCCAAATAACAAATGCTGAAAATATGGTTGGATAATTTTCACCTATCAATTTCAGACGCAAGAAAATTTTCCAGTGTAAACATGAGTAATGATCGGTGATATTTTTTTTCAAATATCTTCAACATGATAAGATACTACATACTAAATAAACATGTTTTATCTGTTGGACGACGTTTCTGTTTATCTCGAAAATATAAGTAACAATTAAATTTGATTGGTGAAATACATAAATGACCCCTTCAAGTTATCCACAACGGTCATTTGAACACCTCAACATACCTATTTATCAAGTAGACACTTCAAGTGTCTGTTAAGTAAATCAAATAGACACCCCGGTACAGCATACCAGATGCGTGAGTTACATTTGCTAGATGAGCCAATCAATGAACGACACGTGTAATTTGTAATTAAAACTTAACACAAATTAACCAAAAAAAAAAACAAAATAAATTTAAAATAAAAAAACCCTTCCCAGCGTCTTCTTTTCCTCCCTCCCCACCCTCCCCCTCCCCCCCTCCACCTCCAACTTCATCTTCCTCAAACTCATCTTCCTCATTTATAAAAGTTGTGGAAATTCAAATGACCCATTTATCAAAATTTCCGGGAAATTCAAAGGGGTATTGCTATTTGAGCCACTAAGTTTAGAGCTAGAAAAACAGCTGGATCTTGCCGACAGACATATTGAAGCAATGCTCCCATTTTTTTTTTTGAATAATCAAGGTACACTCTGGATCACAAGTGTTTGAAAACTTCCAAGTTAAATTTTTTTGCAGCAACAGAAAATACTACTCTTGATTGGAAGCTCACTTAAGCTTGACAATCCAACCCATCTTATCCTCTGCGAGTCCCATTTGTAGACTAGTAAGTGTAGAGTATAATTGCTGCGACACAAGATCAACCCTGTTATTTCCATATGTTACCCTTTTCCCTTGATGAGTAATGCTACCCACAGGAGATACAACCACTGCTGTTCCCGTACAAAAAGCTTCATCAGCATCAAGCAATTCATCCACGGACACCAGTCGTTCCTCAACCTGGAATCCTTGACTAAGAGCTACATCGATTATGCTCTTTCGTGTAATACCTGGCAGAATTGTCCCTTTAATTGCAGGAGTTACTATCAGATTACCCTTCACATATTTTGCTGATTTTCTTGCTCGATCAATCGTTCATTTGACAATTATTTCTTCACTAACTTTAAATTTGTTGAATTTGATGTGATGATATATTTGGTAATTTTGTTCTTTTATAATGGAGGCAAAGGTGATTTAGGGTTAGAGGAGGGTATTGAATGGTGGAGGAGATAATTGGAGGAGAAGGGGGTATGAAAATTAAGTGGGGTCCACATTATTTTAGTAAAAAAAAGAAAGAAAAAACCTAATTTTAGGTTGGCAACTCGCGTCCTAGAGAGTGGATTTCACGCAATGGGAGCTAACATGGTCGGGTGTTTAGTTGATCTTCTATTGTGAATAAATAAAGGGTCTAATTGAAAATAGGCTCACTTGAGGTGTTCAGCTGGTCGTTGAGGACAACTTGAAGGGGCTGTTTATGTATTTCGCCAATTTGATTTGTGGTTTTAAAGATATGTGATTTAGTTCAATACCAATTAATAATCAAGAAATGTGCGGTATAAATGAAAGAAACAAGTGAATCAAACCAGTGTTACTCAAGCAGTTTTGACCTTGAGCTTAGTGACCTCGAGAAGAACTAAGAGCAATAAAGTAAGAACAGTAGAGAGAAAAGACAAGTCTGATGAGCAATGAGTCAGAAAAGTAAGATAGTGTATTCTTTGCCAATGATTAGATTATCTTTACAAATGATTGGGGTCCCCTTTACATAATGGGGAACCCTAATATAAGGTACATTTCTATTTACAGTAGGAATCTTATTGGGATAGCTGTCTAACCGCCTAGTACGGATTCGTTCCCGATTTTACGTCGTGATCCCAGGGTCACTGTGGGAATCTTGCTCTCTCTATTATGGGTTCATAACGGTATTATCTCGAGGTCGGTCATACTTGGCCTAGGTGTCATCGAGTATTTCGATCTTCGAAGCCTCCCATCGTGCTCACTCATGGTCTATTTCGATTTTTCTCCTGAAGTAACCCTCGAGTCCACGAAATCGGGTAGCCCCGATTTCTACCATACACAGTTTCCATCGAAAATAGTTTCGATGAGCATATTTCTAACAGAAGTCTGTCGAAAAAATGCATATTTTTAGTAATACGGAGATATTGTATCGCTCCATGCGAACTGCCCCGATCCACTAAAGATAATGATGGAGTTAACTTCCTCAGAGAAGTTATTAATTTAAAATAGAAACTGCCATGCAGTTAAAAAGAAAGAGGGAGTAATCATTTTATAATGGTATCAAGTGCTTGACTATTGCTGCCTAATCATATTCTTTTGTTTTGAAAATGGGATCTATCTATACTATATTAAAAATACGAAGGCCCTTAGCGAAATATCGTTCGCCTTTTTTTACCCTTTTTAAAATAGAATTCACATTAGAGAAATAATCATTTGATTATTTTTCTAATATTTAAAAATAGTCATTTAATTAATTCCCTACTATTTAGGAATTATTATTTAATTACTCTTTTAATACTTATAATAATATTGACACACATACTAGGAAACATTTTCGTTCTCTACAAAATAGGAAGTTTTCGTCCAACTCCATATTTAGGAGTATTATTAAATTTTTCTTTCTAAATTTGGGAAGATCTTTTTTAGTTAATAAAATTTGTCTAAGTTACACACAATAGGAAGGTTTTAGTTTTTCTTTAGTTAATAAAATTTTAACTAATTCACATACTAGGAAAATTTTGATACTTTTAATTATATTTAAATTTAGGAGTATTAAAATTTCACACTTGGAAAGTTCTTAAATTTTGACTAATTCATGCACACACTAGGAAAGTTTTGATACAGATTTTTGACAATTTTTATAACTATATTAGACGAAGACGAGCTCTTTGAGAACTTATTAGAGTCTTTTTTCTAATAAAAGTTTTACACAATTTTATATACGCATATAATTCTATAAAAGAAGTTACAATGTCACCTTTTCATCATCATAAATTTGCATTCTTTGAGCAATAACTACAAAATTAAGGGTTTCGAGTTCTCTTTCTTGGAGCAATTTTTTTAATTAGCAGTTGAATTTTGCATTCATGTATTTATATTAGTAGTTGAATTTTACATGCACGTATTTAACCAATACATCTTATTTTGATGTTCTTGATTGTAAAGCTTGGTTGAATAGTATCCTTTTTGTATTAGACTGTATGCTTTAACCTTTTGCCAAGTTATTTCTTCTACTATTTTTTCGTGCTCTTGATGGACCTTTTTCTCAAATTTTTAGCAGCTTTTAATAGTTCTTATATTGGACAAAACCATATTAAATTATTTCTTAAAATTTTAAGATTTTGCAATTAACTAAAATTTTAGTTATAATTTTTTTATTATTTGAACTACGCAGGAAGTCCTAATATTTAATACTCTAATATCAATTAAGATTTTACCTTATGAAAATTTTAAAATAATTTATTCATTGGAACTAAAATGGACGCGCAACGCGAGTATCCTAAAACTAGTAATAATAAAAAGTATTAAAAAAAATAGAAAGAAAGAAATTAGACTAAGTTTAGCCTCTCTGTGTTTGATTCTCCCGCTGGTTCTTGAGTATATGTAGTGGGCATTTGGACATTAGAATTGTGAAAATTTGAAAAAAAAAGTGAATTTATTTTTTATGTAAAAATAGTATTTGATAATCAGAGTTGTATTTGGACTTTATTAAATTTGAAGCTGGTTTTGAATTTTTATGGGTGATTTGAAATGAAAATTTAGAAAAATAGTATTTTGATGTTTTTCAAAATTTCGAAATTTAATTTCGAGTTAAACTTAAAATTTTTATGGTCAAATATTAATTCCGATAAAGAAATAAAAAATAAAAAAATATATGGCCAAACGGGCCGGTACTATACTGATGTTTGCTTTTAATTATATTTTTCCGTAAAACCAATAATGTCTGACAATCCCACGTAGTTTTGTATAGTTTCTTTTAAGATACTTACAAAGAAAATTGCAACAAAAGTACTTTGTTTTGGTACTAAAAGAGAACCCATGTGATTCTTTACTTATGTGCAGAGGACATTCTTTGAATTCAGTTGAAATTAGTACTACAACTTTTAAATTAAAATAAAATAAAGGACAAGGACCCCACTGCATATTCACGTACGTAAAGAAATTATGTATTGTCACATCATTCAAAGAATAAATCCCGTTGAGATATTTTTTAAAGGTAGAATAGCTTAAATGATATCTATACTTGTGCCACTTTGTTATGCCGGTTCCCAAACTTATTATTTTGTCGATTGAACACTTATAATTGTTTAAATCGTGTATAATAAATACTTATGACAGTAGATTACTAGTGCGTGTAATACAATCTCCTACACGTAAAACACCACGTCATTACTAGTTCCATATAGGAAAATAAACTATTGAAAAATAGGACTAGCCACCCTACACAAATACCGAACCCATAGAAAAGAGATGCAGTAGGTTCTTTCTTCTTTTGTTTATTAGGAACCACACCCATCCGATTTCACAAAAAAATAATTCTAAACCTGAATATACCTAGAAGCTTCAAGTGAGCTTTAATGGCGTCTCTACTTGTCCCTACGGTTTTGATCCTCCAACACAAATGTTTATCGCATTTTCAAGTCTAAATTTGAATACCCAGCTGAGTTTTAGTACTAGGTAAGCAACAACTTGAGGTTTCAAACCATTAGATTCGTTCTTCGCAAGACCAACAATGAAATTTCGAAAATTCTCAACAAACAAGCCTTTGAATCTCCTCTCCAAAATCCGAATAAAGATCCAAATAGCGAAACACAACAGCAATAACCAAAATAGATCCGTTCGTCAACCTAAAGAGTCGTCGGAAACAGTGACGCTACTACCACGGCTAGGAGACTAGAGCAGCGTCGTAGGAGGAACGAAACTCGCCAGAACCCTAATCAGTTAGGTTTTGATTAAACAGAAAAAGAAATAAGAAACGTAAAAGATTCTTTTGTTAAAGAAATAGAAAAAATAGTATATTTCTGCTGATTATGGTTTTTTGAAGGCTCATCCATTGTTTACAGTAGTGTGGAGGGGAAAAGAAGGATGGGGAAAGAGGGATTGGGGGCGATAAAAAAGGTGGGAGAAGCTGAGAAAGAGAAGGAAATTGGGAGGGGGAGGGTGGTAATTTCGATTAACTTATTAACTTTACTTTTTTTTAGTTTAATTCATTTTTAATAAAAATCACTAGTATCACTCTCTTTACATGCGCGTGTTACACATAATTTGTCCACCTCAGCTATGTCACTCCACATAAGCTCGATCAATGATCAGAGGGGTTTAGAAAATTAGTTTTGAACGAGTGTAAGTGTTCAATTAGCAAAAAAATAAGTTTGGGGACCGATATGACAAAGTGACACGAATATAAGTGTCGTTTAGACTATTCTGTCTTTTTTAAAGGTCAAATTCGTATAGTTAAAAACATGTTCTGCTGGAGTTTCTTTTAACGAATTGGGGTTTTTCATATAATTGAAAACTGCATGTTAAATTTGAACAAAATTAGTACTCCCGAATGTTTCATAATAGTGGCAGATTAATATGCAATGTTGATAATAGGTGAATTTGACTATAATCACGCCTTAAATAATCACCTTCTTGTGTAGTTTTTAATGCTAAAAGTGATGACAAAATGCTCTTATTAGTGATTTTCATGATTTGTAGGTGATATATGTATAAAGAAGGCTAAGGAGCAGTTTTGGAGTCAAAAGTGATGAAAAAGAGGCCAACTGTGAAATTTCCCAAGTGACGCGTGCAAAAAAAAAACAGGCAGAAGATTCAGAGAACTGGGCCTACCGCGGTTCCACCGCGACCGCGGCAGAACCGCGGTGGGAAGCAGCTGCTGAAGATTGGAGATTCCGCGAGGGTGTTTGGTCGCGGTTCTACCGCGACCGCGACAGAACGGCGGCAGGCCAGTAAACTTCAAGGACCAAAGTGTCAATTACGGGATTTTTAGACCTAAACCCTATTTAAAACATTAGACTTCGCCCAAGAGAGGCATGTATTGATTTTTAAGGTTTCTTAGCAAGCAAAAACCATTGTGAGAATATACTCTAAACATCTTTCTTCTTTCCTTTTGATTTTATGATGAATCCAAGCTTAGTTTACTTTCCCATAGCCATGAGTAGCTAAATTCCTTGTCTAAGGCTTTGATGGAACCTATTGGGTGATGAACTTCTTGTTTATGTGAATACAAATTGCTAGTTTAATCTTTATTTGTTCAACTTCGTGTTCGTTGTAGTTAATTGACAGGATCCTCAATTAGCTGTGCCTATTTAGTGTGCATAACTTGGAAAAGAGTGCATATTTAGGGTTGTTGAACAACACCACTCCTAGATTATTAGAGGAATCTATAATTGCGAGTTTAAAGGCGGGATTAGGAATAACGAAGCCTTGGGTGCAATCTAAATTGAATTGTGCTAAATAAAGCAAGCTAGTGTATCTCGGGAGAGTGCAATAGTAGATTACTGTAATTACTCGGGAGAGATTTGCGGTAAGATTAGCGTTCATGATTGATAGAGAGGTGTGGGTAAATTTGTATGAGCATAAACAGAAGGAATTCCATCAATAGGGAAAATCATTGCCTTAGCTTTTTCTCATAATTGTTTACAACCCTTTTAATTTAGTTACAACCATTTAGTTACTTGCAAGCTAGTTATTAAAGAACACTCAACTGAGCATTTGAATATTTGGGAAGCTGGTTCTGAAGACTTAGTGGGTCTGAAGATAGCGGTTGATAGGTTAACTCTCTGTGAATTCGACCCTGGGCGTAATACTCGGGTTATATTTGCAACGTCCGCAGAGTCCTTTTTATAAGGCATAGTTGGGCGTGATCAGTATTAAAGAAGTCTGTTTCAAAACCTGCTTTGTTTCTATACAAATGTGCTAATCAGTACTCCGCGTATAGGCAAGCCCTTAGGGCGTCTTCAAAACTGCATCTCTAAAACTGT